TCTTCCTCGGCTTGCCGTCGACGGCCGCAGAGAGTTATTTTGTGTGTCTCGGCGGTCTCGTCAGCGCTGTCACCGCGGGGCGGCTTGGGGGCGCTGCGCCAGCGAGTGCGTCGATAGCCTTAACGAGTTAAATGGCCAGCGCTGTGACCCTCGTGTGGTGTCGGCCACCGATGGTGCAGGTAACCTGTTCAGAAGCTCGCTCCCTCGCACATCGCCGAGTCTTTTCCATGTTTTTCGCGGCCTACTGACCTGCCCGTCACCAGCGCTGCGGCGGATGCCGCCTTGGGAGAGCTGTTCCACAACGCTCCTGGGCATTTTCACGGCGGCGCTGCGGTGCGACCTTGCGCCGAGGACCTCGTGTCCTTGCCTGCTGCGGGGGCGCTTCCAACGCCGTTGGATCCGATCTGCAGTCGGGCCTCGCTTGACAGGCTGGGGTCTTGGAGGGCGAGCGCGCTGGTCTCCGCGTCTGTCCCTGTCGCCGGGCGGAAGGGGTCAGGTCTGGTCAAGCCTCACGTCGACCCTCTACTTCTGGTCTGCCCCGACCGCCACGCCGACTTTCTGCGTCGATTTGATGCAGCTGGGATGCTGAGGCTCAGACCCCGACGTCTGCGGGAGCAACCCGCGGCGGCGGTGTTCTTCGTGACCAAGATGGATGGTAACCTCAGAATGATGTTCGACACGCGCGTTGCTAACCTCTCCTTCGCTGAGCCAGCTGGTACAAAGCTGCCAGCCAGCGCTTCTTGGGCGAACCTGGAGATCAGTCCTGGCGTCGTCGGCCATGCGGCGTCGGCCGAGTCTTCCTGAATATATATTCCAGGCTTTCACGTTGCCGTGCATTGCGAATCGGGTTCTGCGTCTAGACGACCTCCCGCTGGCTATCGACGTGGCGCCTGAGATTCTGGCGGTGCCCATGGGCTGGAACTGGGCTCTACACTGTCGTCATGGTGCTCTGCGCTCATATCATCTCCAGCGATGCTGGCGTCGACGAGTGCCGCTTCCTCGTGGGCGGGGCGCCGCCCTTCAAGCTGCAGTCGTCGTCAGATTAGGCCGTGGCAGCCTGCGTTGACAACCTCTGTGTGGTTGGTTGCTGGCTCGAAGGAAATTGCCGACTGCGTCCTGCAGTCAATCAGGGGCTATCGCTCGAGGCCGCTCGCCTGTGCATGAGGTGCCCGGCGCTTGCGCCGCCGTGACTCTTGTCGGTCTGGAGTTTGGCGGAGTAAAAGGCTCCGCGGGGGTGCCGTGTTCTCGCCTTGCCAGGCGGCGACTGGGCATTCGATCCGTGCTTCGTCTTGGGAAGATGATGTCTCCGCGTGCCCCCCCTGCGCTCGTGGGTCGCATCGCGTGGGCGATGCTCTGTAGAAGAGAACATGATCGATGATGCCTGCGACATGTGCCTTCGCTCGCGGCAGGTCTTCGGAGCCTGCTAAGTCGTGGGCGGAGCTCCTGGGGGAGCTCCGCCGGGTTCAATCTACCTTGCCTCTGTGGGCCTTGTCTTTGCGGTCTCCGTGGGCTGGCGATGTTGCGGCGTCTGGCTCGTCGGGCCATGGCATTGGGGGCTGTCGTCGCACCTCTTCAGGTTTCTACTAGCACGGGTCGTCTTGCAGAGAGGGCGAGGTACAAGTTCACCGACGCCGCGGCAGCTCGACGGCATGCTCTAGGGGAACCTGGCCAAGGATTTGATGGAGCTCTTCTCGATGGTTTTGTTCAGGGCCCTGGTCTTGGAGGCGGGGGTTCTGGGGCACCTGGGGTGCGCGGCGATTCTAGGGGGCCTCGCGGACGCCGCCAACTTCGAGAGCTCGCTGGACGTCAACGCGGAGTTCCACAGCTTCTCAGGGGCGCCCAAAGATAGCAGGGTCTACATGCAAGGGGGGGGCGTCTTGGAGCCAGAGGGGGGCACGATGGCTCAGAGCAGGGTCTCTCCGAGGTCATCGATTTCTCCTCCTCCGTGTCGACAATTTGGCTCTAGCCCTCAGTGCTGGCAAGGGCCGCGGGCGCGTCGCCGGGCCGTTGCGGCGCGTCGCCTCGCTGCTGCTGGCGACAGGCTGCCGCGTCTATGCGATGTGGGCCCCGTCGGAGCTGAGCCCGTCGGACGCCCCCTCGCGCCGCGGCTTCTTCGCGGGGCCGTCGTGGGAAGGCGCTCGCGGCAACGGCGCCGCAGACGGCGCCGCGCGCTGGCCGCCCGAGCTCCCCGGCGGCGGCTGCCCTCGCGCGCGCCGTGGCGCGGCGCTACGCGGCTCGCGTTCGCGGGTTATTGAGTTGGCGGCAGGGGGGTGGCTTGTCGTGGAGCAAGGCCCAGGGTCTGGACCTGGGCGGCCTTCCTGGCGCGCCTGGCCTCAGGCGACTTCGACGCTGAGACGGGCCGCGTGACCGTGGAAGCGGTTCGGCAGCGGCCGCGGGCGTGGAGGCCGCCGCGGGAGGCGCTGCCGGGGGCCTGCGAGTCGCTGGAGGGCGGGAAGAAGCTTGCGCCGCCGTGGCGGCGGCTGCCGATCCCGCGTCCTGCAGGGATGGCGATCGTCGGCGTGGTGCTCTCACTGTGCCAGATCTCGTTCGCGCTGGGCCAGCCGGCCTGCGCGGTGGCCGCGGCGGGCGGCGCCGATGGCGGCTCGCCTCGGCGGCGCGCGCCGGGGGTCCTCGGGGGCGCGCAGGCGCGGGGCGCCTTTGGCCAGGCCGCCGAGCGCCTTGGGTTGGAGGCGCAGCCGTCGCTGCGCGCGCTCCGCCACAACGCGGCCAGCGACGACATGCTGGCCACCGGGCGCGCGCTCTCGGAGGCGAGGTTCCGCGGGCTTTGCGTCGCGGACTGTTCGGCCCCACAGTTGCGCCTAGAAGACAATTCTTCAGCAACGTATGATTTCGTTGTCACTGAGGGCGCGCGCGCCGTCGGTCAGAAGGTAGACGCACACCTGGCCTCGGTCTTCGAGAACGCAGCCCTCCTGATGCGCGCCCCGCAGAAGACGCCCGCGAAGGATGCGTTATCGTCTCGCGGGCGTCTGCGACCCGCTCTGACGGCCACGGGGTTGACTATCTGACTCGGACGCTGTCGGCTGCCCTCAGGAACGCATCAGTGAGGCCGCGTTCTGTCTTCATGTGCTGGGGAAGTGTGAAGCGCTTGCGCGCTCTAGGGTGTGCCGCCCTGTTCTTCGATCCCAACCAACATCTGGGGCTTGATTGGTCTCGACCCGCGGTGCGCCGGAGGATCCTGGGGTGGCTTCGGGGCTCGGTGGTCTTGGGCGTTTGGGTCTCTCCCGCTTGAAGCCCTGGCCCCCCCCCCGCTCGGTCTCGGGCTCTGTGGGGTTCGCTCGCCACCGTGATCCTCGAGTGCCATCGCTTGCGGCCCCCCGTGCTTGTCGAGTGCCCGTTCTTCCCATCATGTGGCGGCATCTCTCAAACGCGCGTGCGCCCTGGCTTCGCAAGCGGCTGCATCAAACCTTTACCAGTGCGGGCGCATCCTTCCCAGACGCACCATAATGCGGGCCTGGTGTGTTATGTCGCCTCTGCTGGCCGCGCTTCCTCCGTGCTCGGGCAAGACCGGAGATGTTCTGGTCGTCGGCTTTTTTATGCGAAGTTTTCCGCTCTGGCTAAGTTTGGGTGTCCGTTCCGTCGTCTGGACAACAACTTCCCGCGTGATGTTGTTTGTTGGGCCGCCAACTGGTTGGCGAACAGTGCTGGAACCCTTCGCGAGGTCAGACTGTCTCGATTTCTCGGGATTTTTTACACGTGTGCCTGCATTGAATGAGTGCCAGAATTCTGTTAAGGTGTTCGGCCTGCGGCCATGGGCCGCAGGTGTGCTGGGTGCAGATATCTCGAGTATGGGAACAGGGCTGGTGCTGGCTCGTGCGCTCGCGGTTTTGCAAGGCGAGACGGTCGCCCTCGCCTCGCTCAGCAAAACATGCTCTGGCGCACGGAATGGGGAGGGATCGTATACTTTCTTGTGAGTGTTTTGACTGTTGCTGTTGTGTGTGCCGCAACCACTGCGGCTGAAGTCTCCCTCCCTCCCTCCCTCATTTCGCTTTCTGTGTTTACAGATTTCTCGAGTCTGGCAACAGGGCTGGTACTGGCTCGTGCGCCCGCGTTTTTGCAAGATGAGACGATCGCCCTCGCCCCGCTCAACAAAGCATGCTCTGGTGTCACGGAATGTATATGGACCATCCTTTTGATTCATATGATGCTGGTGATGATGCTGATGCTGCTGGCGATGATGATGCTGCTGCTGACGATGGTGATGGTGATGGTGATGATGATGATGATGCTGATGATGATGATGATGATGATGATGATGATGATGATGATGATGATGATGATGATGATGATGATGCTGATGATGATGATGATGATGATGATGGAGATGCTGATGATGATGACGAGGAAGAGGAGGAGGAGGAGGAGGAGGAGGAGGAGGAGGAGGAGGAGGAGGAGGAAGAGGAGGAGGAGGAGGAAACATACACCAGAGGGGGATCGCGGCAACCTTGCAGGTGGAGGCTGTAGGCACACCTGACAGTCCAGCACAGACTCGAGACGCCGTCCTCCCCCTCCCCCACAGGTGCAACTTGGAGGACCCTTCTTGGGTGACGCTGTGTCTTCTCCTCCTCCACCCCAGTATTGAGACTGAAGAGGGGGACGAAGAGGATGAGCAATGAGGACTCCTCGTTGCCGTCCTCGCCCCTCTTCTCGCAGGCACCCCAGTCTTACTCGCTGTCCGCAGCCGCCTGGCACCGAGAGGCAGGCCACCCGCCCACTCCGTGGCATCGAGGGCCTGGCCTCGCTTGTAGGAGGAGTGGAGGAAGGTGGAGGAAGGGGGAGGGGGAAGGGGAGGAGGAGGAGCAGGAGCAGGAGGAGGAGGAGGAGGCGGAGGAGGAGGTGGAGGAGGAGGAAGGGGGAGGGGGAGGAGGAGGGGGAGGAGGAGGAGCAGGAGGAGGAGGAGGAGGAGGAGGAGGATGCTGACGACGACGACGTCCTCCTAGACGAGCAGGGCGCCAGCGAGGGGCAGAGGCCCTGTGCCCGAGGCTCACGGCCACGGCCTCATCAGCAGCGCCGACTCCGAGCACAAGATCGGCTTGAAACGGCTTGGCCAGAGCATTCTGAAGGCCTGCGGCGGCCTCCCTCCTCGAGGAGGACGCCGTCGTCGTCGCCGTCGCCGTTGCCGTCGCCGTCGCCGTCGCCGTCGCCGTCGCCGTTGCCGTCGCCGTCGCCGTCGCCGTCGCCGTCGCCGTCGCCGTCGCCGCCGCCGTCGTCGTCGTCATCGTAGTGGTCGCCGCCGCCGCCGCCGTCGTCGTCGTTGCGTCGTCGTCGTCGTCGTCGTCGTCGTCGTCGTCGTCGTCGCCTTTCCCCACCCTCTCTCCCTCTCTCTCTCCTCCGACTCCAAGCACGAGATCGGCATGAGGCATGAACCGGCTCGGCCAGAGCTTTCCGAAGGCCAGCGACAGGCGGCAGGCGACGTACATTTAGAAAAACTACGCGTCGGAGGCTCGGAGGTTTGGGTCCGACGTGGCATTTTTGTTCAACAGGGGTTCCCATGAGGCCCGGGAGATAATCAGAGACACAGACACGAATAAACGTAGATATCCCATGAAGAGATGGGAAAGTATAGGAATTGGAGGAGAAGACGAGAATCCAGAACATATTGAAAAAATGGGGAGCCATGACACCTGTCCACTTGTGTCTCCCCAGGCCCCTTGAATTAGAAGTTCCGACCGCTTCCCCGGAGGCCGCTCGCTCCTCCCGGCCCGCTCCGTGGCAGCCCCGGGGCCCCGGAGACGGCCTCGAGAGGCCGAAGATGGCGGCATGCCCTCATCTGGTCTTTCTCCAAGCCGCTGGCGGTCAGGGCCCAGGGTAGGGAGGAGCGAGGAGGGAGGACGGAGGACGGAGGAGGGAGGGAGGAGGGAGGAGGGCGGAGGGCGGAGGGATGAGGAGGAGGAGTAGGAGGAGGAGGAGGAGGAGGAGGAGGAGGAGGAGGAGGAGGAGGAGGAAGCTTTTCAAGCCGCTGGCGGTCAGGATCCAGGGTCTGAGCGATCGACTCCCCAGACCCACCGTGGGGTGCCTGCTGGCCACACCTGCGAGGTGGATCCGGCCGTGGCCGCCAGACGCCCCAGGCGGCGTACAGAAGGCACGCCAAGAACGTAACAAAGAAACGGTCGAAAGCCTTCGAGGAACGGAGAACAGTCGAAGACGCTCGGATGTGAGGCTCCGTGCTCCCCTGTCCCCCTGGAGGGGCCAGGGGAGCACGGACCCCCACATTCGACGGGAATCCAGCCGTGGCGATGAGAAGTCTCCTGCCGTGGCAACGGGGAGCTTCCCAGAGGCTACCATCAAGGACTAAGCCTCTCCCAAGAACCTGGATCCTCGATCCTCGCCTTCTGACCTCGAGAAACCTGGAACACCGACTTCGAAATTCGATCCCCTGGAGGTCTCCAGAAGCTGCCTGAGGTCTCGAGAGGTCTCCCGCCAGGGGCCAGGAAGTGACCAGAAGACTTCTCTGCAGCATCGATACCCCCAAGATCACCAGAGGCACAAGCTTGTCGCTTCCAGTGAGCTCGCTGCCGCCACTCCGCTCCAAAACAGACGTGCCTTTAGAGAGCTCCCAGTGGACCCTGAGAGCTCCCAGTGGCCCCAAGAGAGCCCTTCCTCCTTCCTCCTTCCTCCTTCCTCCCTTGTCGTCGTCGCCCTCCTCCTCCTCCTCCTCGTTCTCCTCGTCCTCCTTCCTCCTTCAGTCGCCGCTTCTGTTATGCGCATCAAGCGGCAGTTTCGGCCACTCTTCAATCATGGGCGGCCCCACACAGCGACCATGAGTCCGAGGGGCTCTTGGCCAGCCGCGACGGCCCTCTCTGTTTTCTCGCTCATGGTGTACAACCCCTTGCACGTGACTGGAGGTAGACTCTTGGACATCGTGGCCGAAGTATTGAATATACATGTACTTGGTATACCAGGGACTCAGAGGAAGGCCCGCTTGATTGCCTGTACCAGATCCGTGTCGTACAGAAGAGGGTCTGCATCGAGGCTGGATGGGGATCAGGTGGTTTCTTGAAACGAGCAGCGGGAGTAGTAGCAGTGATTCCCCCAGGCGGGCCACAGCAACATATACGACGTGTCGAACTATGTACCTCCCCCTCCTCCCCCTGGGCGTGGCATAGCTATTGATGCACGGAAGAACGGCCTCAACTTTTCATCGTGGTCCTTTATTTCTTCCCCGACCCAGCTCAGCAATCGGACTGAGACAATACTTCGCGTGCTGCAAGAAACTTTCGGTGTGGACCAAGGGGCTCCTGAAAAGCGTTCCTGCGCGGGTGCACCCTGTAATTCTTGCCGGCGTCAATGACGGGCTGGGGCTCGCTAGGGTGGAGGGGCACTTGGGGGTGGTGGAGACTACTGCGGTGGGAGGGGTCAGGACGAGGGAGAGACACATTGGAGGAGCTGGTCAGGGATCCCGAGAGATCCTGGCAGAAGCCGACCTGTTCTCGCCTACGTCCGTGTCACACTACGCACCAACATTCTATGGTAATAGCGGCGGTAGCGGCATGACGGACTATGTTGGAATACCTTTGGCCTGGAATGACGCAGCAATAAATGCAGCCCTTGTCCACGAGATAGGACGAAAATTGCAAGGCATCCCGCGCCGTGATCCACGATATCACATTCCAGTGGCCGTTGGTGCCCGCATTTCGAGACGAGGAGGAGGACAGGAGGCTAGGGAAAACACCAACCCCGACGGCAATGAAGAACGGAGGTGCCCTGGGACCCAGACAAACTCATACAGGGCCTCAAGGGCGGCCCGATTCGGGAGAAGTTGGCGAGGTGCAGGAGGAGCTGGAGGAGGTTTGGGACCAGTTCGATCTAGATTTCAGCGCCTTGGGCCTTCCCGACGTTCTGCTTGAGAAGTTGGACGAAGTAATTCGCAGGGTCGGCAGCGCACACTTTCAACGAACAGGGTCGGGCCGTGGCGAACCTGACCCGCTCGCGCGAGAGCGACTAGCTCTTCTGGCGCGCAGACGAGTTTTGCGTGAATCTTTGCACGATGCCGATCCTGCTGACGTTGTTGCCAGTAGCTTAGAGAGCACACTACGCGATGCAAGTCCCTTTTCTCGACAGGTGCGTCAAGCCCGTGGTGGTCGGCTGGCGCAGGCCATGCGGGGCGCGCGGGGGGGCCGGAGATTTCGCCGCCATGCGACGTCTCATTCTTCAACTGGCAGGAGGGAGGTATGGGCGGGCGAAAAGGGGCCTCAGACAAAGCGGAGCGCTGCCTACGCAAGAACAATGGATGGCGGTTTGGGAACAGTCGGGGAGTGGAGGAGGGATGCAAGCACGAGTAATTAAATGATCTGAGTATTGTGAGCATCGACGTGCTATGCGAGCTCACGTCACGGACGCAAGTTCGTCTGGAGATCGAGCAGCGCGCGCGTGTCACAGGGCCCTCATGGACCTCGAGCTGATCCAGGCGTATTTCGCCAGAGCCCCGAAGCGTAGAGGTGTGCCGACTTGGGCCCTTCCGCTGGAGACATGCGGCGCGCGCCAGCGGGCCCCGCTCGCAGCGGGGCGCTATGAAAGGGGGCGGGGTGGGAGCGGACGCTACGATTAAGGAGGGGTAGTGCACGGAGCTGCTACTGCATCGAATCTTTGCGTCGGTTAGGCCCTGGGAATCCACCCCCAAGCTCCGGGGCATTGGCCAGGGGTTCGCCTTTGCAAAAGCCGCGGTCTCAGCTTGCGCAGCAAGCGTTTCATTCGCGTTTCTCTCTCGTCTTGTTCTGGCAGGGGGATGGGTCGCGCGAGCGCGAGTCTGCGAGTCTGCGGCGCGCGGGGCAGCGGCGACGGCTCGAAGCAGCGCGAAGAGATTTCGAACGCGTATGATGTCGATTTCAAGCGATGGAGTCTTCGCTGTAACTGTTGATTTCTCGCGTGAAAGCTCTTAGTAGTAAAATCGGTGGACTTGAGAAGCAGGGCTCTCCAAGTTGCGACAAGCATGATTCTGCAGACGCACAGACACGCTCGAGCCGCTCAGAACTATTGCTTTTTTTTCGCTCGCCCCCCACCGAGTTCCAGACGCTGGGCATCGCGATCGAACATCTCCTGCCGCGCGCTGCGCCGCCAAGGCACATTCGAGAGCAAGGTGCCGAAGTTTGAGGCCGCCCCGGAGCGCATGGTACATGGCGCCCCAGATGAGCACGAGTACGAGCGCTCACCGGAGGAGCATGACCGTCCCAGAGGCACCGACGCATCTCAGAAACGAATCCGCGATCAGACCAGTTGTCCGTCGAGCTCGACTTCGACGCGGCGCAGATCGAGACGAGCAGCGGCGATATTCGCGGGAAGGCTTCACGCGCGGAGATGAGCGACAAGGGGGAACGCGCGGATAATGTGACAGAGGACGCGGAGGAGACGAGCGATGAGGAGAACAAGGAGGAGAGAAATGTCACGGAGGACGGGAAAGGAGCAGACCTAAGAGGGGGCACCCAAATGGTTCCGGCAGTTCGAGAGCAGAACGATGGCCAAGTTTGATGGGCTCCACGAGGTCATGGGCCAGGCCACGCGAGTCGCATCTCGGCAGGCGGGCCTCGCCGAAGCGACGGGCCGGCACCTAGCTTGCATTTTCCGAGGCTACGGCCTCCACGCCATGCCCTGCAGGGCACGGGCGGGCTCCCCAGTGGAGCGCGCGCGACTCAAGCGCTGCCCCCCGCTGCAACGCGGCCCCAGGGCCCGATGGGAAACGCGTTGTCCATGGGCTTGATCCAATATGCACAGGTTCGCAGGCATCCTGAAGGTGGCTCCAAGTTTGCACAGTCTGAATGTGATCGCGGTGTTCATCGATGCCGACGGCGTGAAGGCGCCCTGGTTGCGTGTTTGCGTGCAGGCTGGAGGCTGAATCAGGCCTGTTTCTTGTGGTGCGACTCTTTTTTAAATTTCGCTCGAATGCGTTTGCGTCACCGTCGTGGCAGGCGCCCGACTCATCGCGTATTTCCTTCGCTCAAACCCAAGATCGTGACTTGGGTCAGCAAAGGTGTCGCGCCTCTGGATGCATGCTCCACTCACTTGTGCTCGGGCTCTTTCCCCATTCATCCAGGCTGTGGAACCCTGCAGGGAGATCCGTTTGCAGTGGCCAGTTTTGTTCGCGCGTTTAATCAACCCGTGGATCGCTGGATTGAGAGATGCCAGCAGGAGGACTCGGGGCAGCGCCCGCGGGCGCGCCTCCACCCTGCCTTGAACCCAGCACGCAAGCCTCGCATCGCCTCGCATCTATCTTGGAATGCAGAAGTTCGCAGACGATCTGCTGGGCAGCATAGCGATTGGCCGCGCATGTGGCCCGCGGCGCTTCGGACACCTCCAAGATTGTAGCGATGCGATCCTGGGCGAAGAGTTCGCATCCATCGGGCTGCGGCGCAACCGGCAGAAGCAGGAGGCGACAGCGAAAGTCACCGCTAGCTCTCGGCGAGGTGCTGCTGCTATTCTTCGAGCCCGAGAGACTAACGTTACCGATGATGTTGGGTATTTGGGCCCGAGAATTTCGCCTCCTCAGTCCTTTGGCCCTGAGCTATTGCGTCGGATGCAAGCGACGAAGGTCGCTTTATACCGCCTCGGAGGCTTCTCTTGTTTTCAGCGAGGAGTGCCAGCCAGATGGGAACGTTGCATCCTGCTCTGTCACATCGCGTGCGCTGCGCTGTCGGGGGCGGAGGCATTCATCCCGAGCGCAGTCCAGATCAATACATTCCAGCTTGCCATCGCGGCTCTAGCTCGTAAGGCTATGCGTGGGGAGGCGGGTTGGGGGGGCGAGGAGGGGAACGCTCGCTCGATGTCGTCGGCGGAGGTGTTGAGGTGGTGGGGGATCGTTCCAGTATCGCTTGAACTTCGAGTCCGTCGGCTTCGACGGCTCCAGGCGTGTGTTCGGCGACCCGAGGCCCACCGACGGCTTCTAGCTGCAGTATTCGGTACTATGGACTTGGAGAGGGTGTGGGTTTCTGACGAACGTGGACGTTTTCGGGGCTCGGCTGATCCGTTGGCTCTTCGAGTTCAGGATGATCTTCATTAGCTAGCTCGATGGAGTTCGGACAGAGCTGAATGTTGGGAGAGGGCGGGGGGGGGGTCGATTTTGAAGTCGCTCGACCCTGGTATCGCCCCTGACTTCCTGACAGTGGACATGTCGATCCCGAGGGGCGCCCGCGCCACAGTGGAGACCCCCCCTCCTGGATTGTCTGACGTTGGCCACCTGGCCCTGGATAGTGAGGCCCCGTGCACGGAGTTCCCTCGCGACTCCAAGTTCCCCGCCGAGTCGGACCCTGTCAATCATATTAGGCGCGCGCGTGGAACGGTCAAGGTGTCCCAGGCCCTGATCAAGACCAACCAGTGCACCGTGTGCCATGAGGTGTTCTGGGACAGGAAAACAGCTCAAGCACATCTCCGCGGTGCTCTCGTCGATGGGCGGTGTCTGACGCGCAGGGCCACCGCGCTGCGCCCCCTGCAGGGGCCCCGGGACCTCGTCCGTAGCCTGTGCAGCCCCAACTTTGTCTGGCTTTCAGAATGCAACGGCTGCGCCTGGCCCCGCCTGCCATTCATCCCGACTGTTCGTCGTGGCCGCTCCCGATGTCGCGCCGTTCGGGAACCCGGAGACGCCGCAGTGGCCGCGCCACGCTGCGGGCGCCAGGCGAGGGGCAGACGAGCAGGCCGAGGGCACCCAGGCGAAGAAGTCCGCGACGGCAGGATGCGCGGGGGGCAGCGGGGGATGCGGGGGTCGACGGGGCCGAATGGGGCCGAGGCGAGAGCGAGTTCGCAGATGCGTTCAAAAAGCTGTCGCGCCGAGCGCTTAGCGCGGCGCGAGACGTGGCCCCGCTCGATGCGAACGTCCTCGAGACGTGCTTGATAGACGACGCGACGCGGGTCTCTCGAGCGGGCGTGGCAGCGGCCGCCCACTACGCAGGGCAGGCGAAGGGTCTCAAGGAGCGCAGGGGGCAGGGCCCCAGCGTCGACCTCGCCTGCCTTGGCCCGCCGTTCCTCGCGGCGTTCACGGTGATCATGGCGGCCATCCGCCAGAACGCGACCCCAGGAGCGCCGAAGCGGGCGATGGAGAAGCACAGGGCCCAGCGCGCGCAGGTCCAGCGGACGCGGCGAAGATGATCCGCCACATTTCGTTCCAGCAGCCGCGCGGCGAGAAGCCGATGCGGACGGAGAACAAAGTGCAATTCACATTGAACGTGGTTCCCAACGGCGTTGCGGGCCAGAGCTTGCGCGAGATTTTCCAGCAGGTGCCGGCGGATTCAAGGCGGAGGGGCTCGTGGGGGCAGCCCCCAGGAGCGCGGCAGAGAGGCAGGTGCGGAAGTGGCTGAACCAGCATCAGTGATACCAGACATCGAGATTATTGATTGGGACGGACATGGCATGGATCCGAGACCCGGCGGAGATATGGGAGCTCATTGTCAAGAATATGCACGGCCGATGAACCCTAGCCGCCAGGAGAAGCCGCACGCACCATGCGCGAAGCAGCCTGGCCGAATTACCAGTTCATTGAATTCGAGTGCGACATGCTCGGCGTCGTCTCGCTCCATGGCCTCTGCGTGTCCAGCGACCTCGAAGCCGCCTGCGACGGCCCCTCCTCCTCTGTCCCTGTCGGCGCCGTTTTCCACCCGTGCTAGTTTTGCTTTTTTGTTGGCGATAGGCTGACCGAGGATTTCAGAGCTACTGGGGGAGATGGGTTTGCGCGCGTGGGTGGCGGGGACGCGGGGGCGGGGGTGGGGGAGGGAGAGACGGACAGGCTTGCTGCAGCTGACGCCGACCGCGCGGTCGGCCGCGCAGAGCAGCCCAGCCAACGTCGAGCATCTAGGTCACTTCAGAAGAAGCGTGGAAGGCCCTCTAGGGGCCAGCAGTCTGGGACTTGAGGCCGGTGCCCGCAGGCCCCCCTGGCGGACATCCGCGTCGTGGGGTTTGCCTCGGGGCCAGCGGGGCACTCCCCCAAGCAGGAGCCCCCTGTAAATTCAAGGTTGGTTCGGCCATCCGCCGTCGCAGGGACGAGATGTATTTGTGGCTTGTTTTTTTGCGTGGCCGATCAGCGTTTGTTGAACTCAGAGATCGCCCCCAGCGTTCAGTTCAGTTCAGTTCCTTCCTCCTCCTTCCTCCTCCTCCGCCTCTTCCTACTCCTCCTGGCCCCAAGAGAGCCCAGTGGGCGGCATCCCCGCCCCCCCCCCTCCCCCGCAGTGCCGACCACTGCCCATGGGGCAACGTTAGTGGGGATGGGTTCGGAGGCGACTGCTGGCCCAGAGGCTGCGGCGGAAGCGGTCGTTGCCAGGCGCGCGCCAACCCGCGGTCCCGCCCCGTACGCAGCCGTGCGGCTGGTGTATGGGCGTGGACCTGGGCGGCTGCCGGCCTAGGCGGCGCTGGCGGTAGCAGACCGAGGTGGTGGCGCTGGCGGGGCGGGTGCGTGCGTGGTGGCGGGGGTTCCGACGAAGGCATCTATGCGCCACCACCGTGCCAGGCCGGGGCCATCCTGGGACCCAAAATGGTGCATAGACCCTCCTGGCCTCGGCCAGGATGGCGCATGCACCATGCCAGGGCCAGGATGGCTCTGGCCTGGCACGGTGGAGATGCATTCTGCGTAGGAGCGTGGATGGTGGAAACAAGAAAAAAGTGGGCTCAGGCGGGGGCGCATCGAGCCCCAATCGCCCGCTGATCGCCGACAGGGGCCCGACAGCCCCACCTCGCCTGGGCACGTGCGGATTTGCCCGCCGATCCATCGGCGATGCGTCGCCGACTCCAAGTCAACGCTTCCCATCTTGAGCGGGTCCGTCCCTAACGTTGCCCCTCATCTGCGGCGTTGCTTCTGCCTGCGAGGTTGAATTTCGCGTTGGCGTTGCCGTGGTCGAAATTCGGTCAACTCCAGCAAAATCCGGGCGAATCCGGCTCAGTCCAGCTTTATCCAGCTTGATCCCGCTCAGTCTCGTTTAGTCCGGCTGAACCCGGTGCCCGGTCCGGCTTCATCCGGCCTACTGGCTCCCCAGCCGGCCTTACTCACCATTGATCGCTCAGTCGAAGACTTGCATGGAGTTTTTGTTTTAATATTGTTGATCGTTCAGTCGAAGACTTGCATGGAGTGTTGGTTTTCATGTTGTCGCGCCCCCGCGGGGCACAGGCGCAGCAGTCCTCCTCCTCGCAGCTCGTGGTCTTCGCCGACAAGGACCGCGGGCCGCGGCCAGCGGCGCGGCTGCCCAGACCCCTGGCGATATCGAAGGGTTCCGAACGTTTCGGGGGAATTGGGGTCGTTTTGGGGTTCCTGGGGCGCCCTCGTCGTCGCGGCTGGATCCAACCCGAAATTCTGACCAGAACGCACCCCAGGACAGATCCAGGGGTGGAGCTTTGACCCCAAGATCTGTGGCGATCCCCCCCCCCGATTTGATGTGGTGGTTCAGAACAAACCGCCATGTTCTGAAAAGTTTGCAGCCTTTGAAAAGCAACAAACAACACCCTCGACCCAGATTGTCTTTCTGTTCGACGTCACTATGTCCGTCACGGGGCCGTCACGGAACTCGTCGCGTGTCACCCGCGTATGTGTGTGCGTGCCTGTCGGACGCCCGTTCTGTATACGTGGCTCGTCCGCGTTGCGTCCGTCGAGCGTCGGTGAACGCTTCGGTTGTGTCTGTCGTGCGTTTGCTTCGTTCCCGTCGCGTGTACGCTGCGCGTCCGCGTGCCCGTGGGTGTGTGGACGAGGCGGTGGGGGGTGAAGGTGGCGACGTGAAGGCGAAGGCAGGGGAGAGGTGCAGCACTGCGGCGCGCCGAGGGGGGAAGTGAGAGGGGGCAGGCCTTCTCAGAAGTCGGCGGGGCTTCTCAGAAGCCCTCCAGCCTTCTGAGAAGCCCTCTGTGGCTCAAGGCCCACCCCCTTCTGCCGTGCCCATGAGCGCGACTCCGAACTGTGGGGGCGAGCGCCGTGAGACCGCTTGCATCGTGCCTGGGTGCCCCGAAGCTCTTCTTGGATTCGGAGGCCTAGGGTTGAAGGCCCAAGCCCTGAGGCCCAGCTGGCCGCGGCATTGGACAGCCTGTGTACTCCACATTTCGTAATACGGAGGGGGATCACAACCTTCCCAGACGAGCAAGCTCAGACCCCCCCCCAGACCAGCCATGGAAGGGCGGCCTTTTGCCCAGAACCCCTTGGAAGCCTTCAAGACTGGTCACATCAGACCCCACCCCCAAAGGTGACCCCCCACCCCGCTCTATTATGAAATGTGGAGTACCTTGCGCGCGCCAGAGGCCAGGGGCAGTCCGAGAGACCTGCACGTGTGCATGCCAGCCCCGCTGATGCCAGGCGGCTGGGACCGCTGGTGGCGACCTTTGGACGGCGGCCAGAGGCGTGGCCGTCGCCCCCAGGGCAGATGTACGCATGCCGGCACCAGTGCGCTGATCTGCGTGCGGTCATTACCTCACGGGCTTTGCAGTCGCAGGCGATTTTTCCCCCCGAATCCCCGAGTTCCGCCCGAAAAGTTTGGCCGCTCTGAGAAAGGGGGAAACCCTGAGGCACACCCCAAGGGGGCTATTCGGACGCACCCCTATCGAGGATGGACGCCCCCTCATCGTATACCCCAGGGTTGGCCCAACATTTTTGGTCCATTCGAAAGCCCCGCGGCCGGCTCCCTGACACGCGGGCCGAGGCTCTTTGCGCAACCTCCGGAGTTGAAGCTTGCAAGGGCACCGCGTAGGTAGGTAACTCACGTAGCATGACCAGTCGTGTACATATTATGCGTCAGACCCTTCCAAGCTTGCTGCAGTCCGCTTTGGGCGTCTTAGGGGCCTCTTCGCGGCCCCAGGGCCGCTTGGGATGTCGTGGGCGCCCCGGGCCGCTATAGGCCACGACCAGCCACTACGCACGCACTAACCACCACAAAATCGCACTATGCAGACGATCATGTTGTTACAATATGGTCTCCCAGTCTGCTACATAATGCACATGCATACCGTGGTAACTCATATGGCGCATCACGATGGATCATGTCATTCCGCAGCATTTGCTCGTTAAGCGTCTCGTATCGTAGCGCAACGCGTCACTTCATACCATAGCACGTCACGGCCTGTACTAGCATGAGATAGCACGCTGGTAGCGCATCACATCGCGTCACAGTCCATCATCGCGTGGCAAATCTAAGCATTATGTAATGCTTCGCTCACTCCGCCGGCCCGTATTGTGCCATCGCAGGCGTTTGCCTGCGCGTTCGCGGCCTCTCGGAGGCCGTTCGTGGGCCTCTTGGCCTCTTCTTGAGCCTCTTGGCGGTATTTCTATAGGACCTCCTGGGGCCTCCACGGTCCACGGGGGCCTCTTGGGGGCCTCTCGGGGGTCTCTTGGGGGCCTCTCGGGGGCCTCTTGGGGGCTTCTTCGGGGGCCTCTTGGGGCCTCCAGGGGACCTCTCTGCGCCTAGACCTCGAAATGTCCGTTCGGGTCCCTCGTCTGGGCCCGCTCTTGGAGCCGTCTTGGGAGCCTCTTCGGCCATCTTGGAGGCCTCTGGGGCTGTATTGGAGCCTTCTGGGGTCGTTTTGGGCGCTCTTGGAGGTCTCTTGGGCCGTGTTGGGACGATCCTGGAAGTCTCTTGGGCCGTCTTGGAGCGCTGGTAATCTGAAAAGGCGAGAACGCCAAAAACCTTCAAACACTAAGGGATAATGACAAATTCTGCCTCTGTGGGCCCTCTCGGGAGGTCTCTTGGAGGCCTCTTGGGGCGTCTTGACAGCGCTTTGGGCTCTCTGGAGGCCATATTTGGCGTCTTGGATCGCTCTTGGACCGTCTCGGACCATGTTGAGCTCTTTTTGAGGTCACTTAAAGCGCTCCTGGAGCGCTCTTGGGAGCCTGGCCGGGACCTGCCCGGGATCTCGCCGGGACCTTGCCGGGACCTTGCTGGGACTTTGCCGGGACTTGCCGGGACCATGCTGGAATTTGCCATGACCTTGCCGGGGTATTCTTCGTCCGGGGGCCTCCAGAGGCGGCCCCGCGCGCGCGAATTAGACATATTGTTAACCATTCGCAGGAGATCTTAGCACGGCCTTGGCCCGTTGGGCCAGCGAAATTCTGAATGGCTTTGCGACCCAAGGTACACATCGTAGCGTCCTGAAGCGTGCACATCGTAGCGCAGGAAGGAAGCAGAACACAAACCATATCGAGCCAGAGCACATTGCAGCATCACATCGTATCACACTGAGCCAAACAGCCCGAACTCACATTTCACTTTGCCGCGCTAAATCAAAACGAGGAGTGCGAAACACGTCAGACTATAGCAAACGATATCTAATCATACCAGAGCCGTGCACTATGGCATTGCATAGCTTTGTAGCAACACACCACACAACACATCATAGCATTGCGTTGAATCGTATGATTTCGCACCGCGCTGCATCTTATGAAGCAACATGTGTTTTCAGGCCGTATAAGGGTTCGGCCGTATGAAGTTAGTTGCTAGGCAGGCTTGTGCTCGCACAAGCCCGACTAATAATGCCGACGTTGCTGTTTCCAATGCCGTAGGGCTCACCGTTCTGCAGTTTGGCGGTTGCCAGTTGCTTGTCATGGCGTCACAGGTATTTCACAAGTATTTAAATAAGACATGTGGGGTCGACTTGCACAGCACATCATAGTGCAGTGTGATTTTCAGCATGGAGCGTTCATGGGGAAAGTTCCATTCCCACGAGGCAATTCTTTCGAACATATCTTTATACATATATATATATATATATAGAGATATCCGCCTTCGCTTGAAGCGTTTCGGTGCAGTTGTTACGCCCATGGTTGTTTACGCCTTTCCGACGACAACCATGACAGCACAACAGCGGTCGTGATCCGCACCAACGCGTTCAAACATGTTCCGCCAGATAGTTGGTTTCAGCAAGCTTCCCCACTGAAGCTGGGATGAAGAAGGGCGACGCAGCAAGCAGAAAGTAACCGTTGATTTGACGCGCGACGCCGATGACAGCCACGTCGAAGGTGGACAGATGCCGCAGGTTCATTTCTGCGATAAGAGCACGGTGCATAAGGAATGTCAGTCGCAGCCAGGAGCCTTTCTTTTGCAGCGGGTGGAACAGCATTTCCAGACTGCCTGATGTATATTATGATTTATGTCTACTAATGCCCTGTCTACGACTATTCTTTTGCATGCGCGCATTCTTGCCGTAGTGTCTCACACCCTCTGGCTCCGCTTGCGCAGCGAAGTGCCTCAATAGGCCTCTCGACCAGACTGGGCTGCACTTTGTGCTGGCAGCGACCGGCAGGGGGGGATTTCGGGAAGATCTCTTGCTCAGGCTATCCCAGGCCCGGGATTGATAATTCTTTCTTGGCCAAGACAGGGAAGCGCACACACCGACACTGGGTCCAGGAAGGGCTTGGCCAGGATCAAGCATCGTCGTCCTGGAGGAAGAAGGGTGGCGGGAAGGACTATATATGTATGTATATATATATATATATATACATATATGTATATATGTATATATATATGTATATATATATATGTATATATATATGTATATATATATATAGATAGAAACGAAGCGCACCCCTCGCCGCCCAGGACGGCCATGCAGCCGTCCCGACCAAGAAGGCGGAACCGCTCCCCTTCCCCCCCTCCTCTCCTGCCCCCTTTCACGCCCTACTCCCTCATCTCCCCGTCCTGGTCGCGGTCGTGCTCCTCCTTCTCCTTCTGCTTTTCCCTTCTCCTTCCCCTCGTCCTTGCCCTTGCCCCCCTCCTCTTGCGGTCCTCGTCCTCGTCCTTCGCCTCGTCCTCCCCCTTTCCCTTTTCCTCGTCCTTCCCCTCCTTCCTTCGTTCTCCTCCTCTCCGTCTCCGTCCTCGTCCTCGTGCGGGGGTCCTGGTGCAACGTCGGCGAGGAGTTGCCCGACAGCAGCAACGTCGACCAGGACAATCTACGTGAGGAACGTGACGGACTTGGGGCCAAGGCCCGTGAGTTGGTGAAAGACCCCCCTTATGGGGCCGATGTGTTTGGCTTGTTGGAGCACCATGCCAGAGTCACCAAGCTTGATGATATGTTGCGCGAGTTTGATGGATGCGCGTGGAAGGCCACAAGTAGCCCAGCGCGCCGTTTCAAAGAGATCGACAGCTCGGGGGGGGCATCGTGGCGGCTCGTCGGCACCTTCAGTGTGTCTCGATGGGCCACTTGGCCATGCACCAAGATCAGACGCGCGGCCAGCTTCGACATCGCAAGCCTGAGCCTGAGTTTCGAGCAGGGCCTGCGGATTTCGTTGCTTTTACTACCCTTACGGTGGCCATGTCTAAGGGCTTCCTGATGGTAGTGGCCATCTACCTGACGACGGGGCCTGGCATCAAGGGCGTGGATGTCACGAAGCTCCATCACCTGGGCGCTATGTTGCAGGCCGTGAGATGGGATTGGATTGTCCTCGGGGACTGGAATGTCCCACCATAGGAGCTTATCTCCAGCGGATGGGTACAGCACCTTCGTGGTCATGCCATGAAGCCATACAACACGAGCTTTACCTAGTACGCTGGAGGGCGAATGTTGGACTACGCGGCGGTGGGCGGCCCTAGCTTGTACCGTCGTTCTCGCCTCTTTGCGGGCACGTGTGGGGAACAGAAGTCACAGATGGGCTTGGCGGCCCAGTGCAACGCTGCCCCTGCGAAGGCGGAAGCTATGGTGCTTCCCACGCCCGCCATGTTTTGCCACCTCCCAACCCCTGCCAAGGCAAGGGACCCGAACTCCAAGCGCAGCCTCAAATTCAAGGAGCAGGAGGAGGCTAGGCAGGCAGCCCGTGATAGTCAGCTCTTTGAGGACAACCTTGCTATGGTCAGGGACCCTCCCCCAAGGGAGCACCCATCGGACCCACTGCCGCCGAGGCTTGACGATGCTGAAGAGCTGAGGGGGCCGACTTTCCCTCTCCCAGACTACGTGTCGCCGTGGGCGGGACGCTGTGTTGGGGGCTATGCAGGTGCGATGGTACTGCTCCAGGTGGCCAGGGATGTGCATTCCCCGGGGATGGGGCCCCAGGAGGCCATGGACGTGGATGCAGAGTGGTATGTTCAACGTGACGCTGAGGAAGCTGATGCCATTGCCTTTCTTGATGGCCAACCGAGGGACGCAGGCGCGCAGCTACCAACCCAGGTGGCCAGAGAGGTTCCTTCTTCTGGATTGGTCACCCAGGTGGCCAGGGATGCACGTCTCCCTGGACTGGGCACGCGGGCGCATTGGTCTGCCAACTCCTCTTCCTCTGGGCAGCTATCGCACCAGGTTGCCAGGGGGGTGCACCCCCTTGGACTGGGTCCTCAGATGGCTCTCGCCGAGGAGACGGAATGGCGAACCCAGCAGGATGATGAGGAGGCTGAGGCATTAGGTTTTCTTGATGGCATATCGCGCGGGCCTGGCGGGCAGCTGCCGACCCGGGTTGCCCGAGACATGCGTTCCTCTGGACTGGGCACAGCTACCCCATCGGAAGCCAACGGTGCATGCCTGGACGGTGGGGGCCGCGGGTCGAACCGCGAGGGAGATCGGCCAAACCTCGCGCGAACCGCTGATCCCGAAACGGCTCTCGCCAAGGCCCCTGCCGCCGCGGAGCATGCAGCAGCGGATGTTAGAACGCAAGCCCCAGCCTCCAGGTGCGCCCTTGAGGTGAACGGTGCGAGATGCTGGGCTCAGTCGCCGAACGTTTTGCCGGAGCCTGCCCCCCAGGTGCGCCCGCGTGGTAAACGGCGAGGGCAGCAGAGCTAAGTCGCCGCGTTTTGCTGAGGCTGGCCGTGCCGAGTCTGGTTCCTGGTCTGAGCTGTCCTCTGCGGTGCCCGCGAGCCCCCCCGAGCGCCGCGGGCCTTCGGGCCGCCGTCGGCGCGAGGATGGGAGAGCGCGCCGTTGCTGGCGGGGCAGCGCGGGCGGGCCCGCAGTTGGCCGGGGGGGCGGCGTATTGGTCTGGGCGGGCAGCTCTCTCTCTCTCTCTCTCTCTCTCTCTCTCTCTCTCTCTCTCTGCGCCCTATAACACCGCCCCCGAGCCAGGGGCAGCCGCGCGACCGCTTCAGCGTGCGACGCCAGACTCGGGCAACGGAGACGGCCAGCTCCCGCGCCGTCGCGGGGGAGCAGGCGGACGCGGCGTTTCTGGAGGCCCCCGTCGAGTCACCTCGCGGGGGCACCTGCTGGGATGGAACCTGCGCGGCTACTGACCCAGGTGGCCAGAGAGGCGCATTCCCCTGGACTGGGTCCCCAGGCGGCCAGGGACGCGCAGTCCCTTGGACTGGGTGGCAGCAGAGATAGCCGCGGGAGCAGGGCGGCGTGGCGGGGGCTCTTTACGCTGCGGCGCTACGAGGGGGCGCGGGTGCTGCGGGTTGATCCGCGCGGGGGATCGGCGTAACCTCGCGCGAACCGCTGATCCCAGATCAGCTCTCGCCAAAGCCCCATGCTGTCGTGGAGGGGCAGGCGGGCGCGGCGTTTCTGGGGGCCCCCGCGAGTCACCTCGCGGGGGCACCTGTCGGGGTGGAACCTGCGCAGTTAATGGCCCAGGTGGCCAGAGACGTGCCTGCCTCTCGACTGGGCCCCCAGGTGGCCAGGGGCGTGCGTGCATTTCCCCTCCGACTGGGTGCGCTACCTGGTGCGGACAGGCCTGCTGCTACTAATGAGGGCGCGTGGCCCCAGGAGGTTGCTCCGCCGAGGCGGTCGTGCGATGCTATGATCGAAGTGTCCTCGCAGCAAGCCCCGAGTCCAGCCCCCTCAACTGACCGATCAAGACCGACGACAGTTTTTGGAAAAGGCGCGCGAGTGCCCGATTGATGAGCGATGGTCACGGCCCCCAGGCCACATCCGCGAGTCCATGGCTTTCACCACGGGGGCGGATGATGCGATCGAGCTGGGCAACGCTCGCGGCCGTTGGGCCGCCAAGTTGGAGCGCTACGTGGCGCGCGCCATGGGTCTCGAGAAGGGGGTTCAGGAGAAGTACCTGGGGCGCGCCCTCCCCGGCCCCCCCAGACCAACACATTGAGAGCGCCAAAGGGAGGAGTGAAAGGCACCGACCGCTAGGCAGCCTGGTTCAGCACCGTGGCGGCTTGCGCGGGCATGCATGCCAGGGCCCTTGCCAGGCCGACGCAGTCGGGGGCAGGCGAAGACGCCCTGCGCGCCCTGCTGGGCACTGGCCACAGCATGCCTGCCGACTCTCTCCTGGCGGTGAGTGCGCAGGTACAGGTTAAGCGGGCAGGCGATATTTGACGGGCGCGGGTGTGGGCCGAGCTGTAGGCCAGCGCCATGACAGCTACTCTAGCCGAGGTGGCCGACCAGGCGCGCCGTGCTGAGGTCAGGCAGAACGCGGTGGCCTTCCATGACTGGGTGATGGGGTGCACAGCCGGGCGGCTTGTCTTAAAGTGGTGAACTGGACAAAGGACAAGACTGTCCCCGTCATGGAGGTGGGGCTCGCGGGAGCTCCACCCTAGGCTGACCTGCTAAATCGCCCAGTCAGCTGCGACATCAACGCCATGATGGAGATCAAGCGAGATCAGTGGGCGGGCCGCTGGGCTGGCCGAGTCACGGCAGCCAGAGTGCGACGCCTTTGGGGGCGATGCGGGAGGCTGAACAGCGAGCAGGACGCATGCGCACCCATCGACCCGTCTGCCATTGCTGCTTTGGCGAGAAGTATTCGACAGGCGAAGGGGCGGGGAGGTGATAATCTCGGTCCTGCTGACCCTCGTGCTGCACCTCATGGGTCGCTTGAGGAGCTGGCCCGCCTTTTCATGCGCTGCAAGCAGCTGCAGGCTCGGCCCTGGCAGCTGCTGCTTGTCCTGGAGACCGCGGCGCCCAAGCCAGCCCCGACGGGAGAGAGAGCGACTGCACTCTAGCCCTTTCCCCATCCGTGTCTGGGGCCGTCTTCGGATGTTGGTCGGGGCCCTCTGGTGCGAGAACAAGGCTGGCCTCTGCGGCCAGGCTGTCCGTGGGAGCTCTGCCCTTCGCTGCGGCGTGTTGAGAGTTTTCCTGGGCGAATCTGCCGAGGCGCAAGGCGTCTCTCATGGCAGTCGGATATCGGATTTTGCTAAGCTTGTGATTCGCTGGATCCGATTTTGGCATTGGAATCCGCTCTGGCCCCGGTTCATCCTGCGACCCCCGCGGGGCTTTCCCGGGTGCTTTACGTGGCCCCCAGGCGCGTCAAAACCAGGGGGGCGGTCTCCCGCCCCATCGAGCACACGGCCCCCGCCCCTACTGGAGATGGAGATGCGAATAATTTGGCGGGAGCAGTGCTGCACGATGCGCTTGAGAGCGTGCATGCGAGATTTGTTTCCTAGAGGCGTTGCCTCAGCGCAGTGGTTTGATACATCAACCAAAATGCCGAGGGCGCAGCGCGTGTCGTGACTCAGGCACTGGTGGGTGCCACTCTGGATGTTTGCAAAGGTGCCGAGTCCCTGGGGCTGAACATCTCGGGGAAGTCGGCGGGGGTTGCCAGCTCCGTGGGTCTCGCGAGGGGCATCTCCCAAGCGGTTGTAAAGCAGTCCCAGGGTAGCTGTGTGATCGAGACTTCCAGCGCGGTGGCCGACCTAGGCCTGGAATGGGGCTCCGGTCGCAAGCAGCGTCGCGTGTGCGGAGCTCGTGTGGCCATGGGTCTGAAACCGCTTCGCATAACCAAGCGCGTTTTCAAGGTCGGCCGCCCGCGTGAGGCTCGGCAACATATTGGCATGATGTCTCCTGTTCCTCGGTGTCAGCGCGGTGCTCTGGTGCACGAGATAGCTCCCCCTGTGGTTTCGAGGGCCCAGGTTGCCGTGGGCGCGGCCATTGGGGGGCCCGACGGAGGCAGATGCCTCGCCGCTTTTTTGGCTCTGGGATTGGGTTCTCGGGCGCCCGCCGTCGAGTTGGTCCTTCGACAGTTCGCGGGCCTTTTCGAGCTCGCCGCCGGCCCCATCCCTGGCGCGACAGATCCGATCGAGGCTGCATCGGAGCTGGCCCAAGGTGGCTGGGGGGCTCCTTGGCGCCAAGGAGAACCGCCGATGTGCTCGGGTCTCTGGGTGGGGCCTTAGCGTCGCTATTGGACCACGGGTGGCTTCTGAAGGATCCCCAGAGACTCGAGTGGTTGGCCCCCTTCTGGTAGCCTTTGGAGGTTGCAGCTCCCTGCCCATGGGTTGACGCGCAGGAGGTGGCGGAACCATCCCTGGAGGAAGCCATTCTTTCCTTTCGTGTCTTCTGGCTGAGGGGCCTCCTGCCGCCCAGCTGGACACAGGTCACCCCGCCAGGTGATGGCCCCATCGAATCGTGCTGGCTATGCGCTGCAGGCGGCAGATGCACGGGCCCTGGGGCGGGGCGGCGGCGGGGGGGGGGGCGACGGGTCGGGTGGAGTCGACGCGCGAGACCTTAGGCCCAGACGCCGCGCCTGGAGCTGTTGTGCCATAGCGGTTGAGTGTAGGGGCCCAGCCTGGGCCCAGCTCTCCGATGTCTACGGGGCTCTCGGTGGGGGTTCTAGCACCCGTGCAGACCGTCAATCGCGCTGAGCATCGGGCGTTAGTTCGGCGGGTGGAGGTCTGCGCGGGTCCTGGGCGATACCTCCATTTCATCGCCGACTCGAGCTACGTAGCTCGAGGGGTGTCGGCTCGCGGCCTGAAGCGGCGCGCCAATTGGGATCTCTGGCGGCGCCTCTAGGGCGCTCTGGGCGAGGTGCAGCTGGCGACCCACAGGGTGGAGTCTCATGCCATCGCTTCCAGGGCAGAGTTTTTAGGCATCCTTGACCTCTGGAAAGGGGTGCCAACAGCGCTGTCGACCGCCAAGCCGAGGCGGCCGCCCATCGCTTCCAGCTTTCAGGGGCCGAAGTCGATCGAGCCCAGGAGGCTGGTGAGCTTGTGCGTAGGATTCGGAAGCGTCTGGTGGCCGTGATGGAGGAGTGCGCGCGCGTGCATCCTCGGGTGGGTGCGTCTCGGATTGACCGCGCTCCATCGCGGCCCAGGTGCCCTAGAGTCAAACCGATTGACCGTGCCCTGTCTGTCGCGTCTCCTGGTATCGCGCGGCCAGATGGCCGAATAGGACAGGCGGGGCCCCGCTTCTCGCGTGGTCGCTGCCTGGAGAGCCGAGGGGGGGCCGAGCAGGATGTCATCGAGTGGCTGGCGGGTACCTGCCAGGCGGTGAACCCAATCGTTGCCGGCAGTTCGTTTCCCGTGCATCTAGGGGCCAGGGTTGCTGGCAGAGTCATTCACACTAGCCACGCGGCTAGAACTCACGCCCAAGTTCCAATGTTTTTCGGTTCCACTTGTGGGCTCCTGCTCTGCGAGGGGGAACTTGGTTTTGAGAGGCCTTGCGGCAATGTGTGGCCCTCATAGCGAGTCGGGGCTGGGAGACCTCCAGCTGCTCGAGCGCGGGGTCTGGCCAGGACACCTACAGGCGGCTAAGGCGTTTCATCGGATGTAGCAAGCGTAGCGTTTGCCCCTGAGCACTGTTCCTGGGCGGGCAAAAACTCCTCTCCGTCCTCGTCCATGCCCCCCCCCCCCCCGCCCCTCGCTCACCCAATTCTTTGATCCGTTCCTCGTCATCGCCCTCGCACCGCCCCCTTTATTCCCCCTTTTCCTTCCCCCCTGGCCTGCCGGGGGCGCCGAAGCTGAACAAAAACAGCAACGCGAACAACCTTCCAGTGCGGTTTCTTCTCGACGCGAATGGTGGGGGCCGTGAGTCAGCGCCCCCGCCTCTCCTTTCAGCCTCCCTCCCCCGTTCCTTTTCCCCTGGGCCCCTGGACCGCCGAAGGTCTGGATACATGTTCGTTATTTAGTTACTTGTTCATCCCAAGTTGCTTGTTGATTGTTTGGGGGCCCGAAATTGGGGGGGAAAAACATTGGCATGAATCGGCGCGAGCGACATGGGCAATTACGGAAAGAATGGGTACCATGACCGACAACAGTTCGTGCTCGTTTTGAACAGGGCTCGTTGTCGGTGTCGCCGCGGACGTTGTCCCTTTGAGACAGACGGTCGCCTGCCCAACTGCGGCCGCTGTCGGTTTTGGTCACTTGCCCATCCCAAGTTGCTTGTTGATTGTCCCGGCGCCCGAGACCAGGGGCGCCCTCAAGGCGCGATGTTACTCGTGCTTCACAGTTCGGCCCCGATTCTTCCTCATCGTCCTCTTCTCCCCTGGGGGGCGGCGCGAGAGCGTGAAGTCATTCGCGCTCTCGAGCTTCGCGCTTCGCGCAGCGCGAAACGCGAAACGCGAAGCTAGGCGCCATTGGAAACTGAAAACAACTGCAACATGAACAGCCTTCCATTGTGCTTGCTTGTCGACGCGAGGGGGGGGGGCATGTCCCAACGCCTTGGTTCATCTTACAAACGCCCTGGGCGTCTTTTTGAAGCGTTTTCTAGTTTGGGCTCTTGACGGGGTGCAAGATGCCATCAAACAGGCGCAGCCTTTTTTTATAGCGTGTTTGGGGTTTGCGTTTGGCGTCTTCAGGCTCGTCGTCACGTTTTGTCGCGCTTCTCCCTGCCCCTCCCTGCAGCCTCCCGCCGCGGGGGACTTCCGGGTGCAGTTCGACGTGGTCACGGAGGACGGCCCAGGCAAGTTCGTCGTGCGGGTCCACGAGGACTGGGCGCCCGCCGGCGCCGCGAGATTCAGGCCGGAGGCGAGGGTCACGTCGGCCACGTCCCTCTACAGGAGGAGTTCTCAAAAATATCTCGAAAATCGTATGGGGACGATGTTTCTGGTATTTTGTCGACCCTTTGGGGGTATTATGTGACGACTATTTTCATGTCCTTCGAAATCCGCCTGTAGGGGGACAGTCCCGACCTAAGGCGAGAGGAGAATCGGGGGAACGTAAGACTCGGGTAAGCCGGAACTCGGGTTTGCAGACGTTTTTTGACGAGCGCGTCCTGGATTTTGACGGTCCAGTTTTCGTGGGATGTTTGCAGTGGGAGCTCGCGCCAAATTTCGGATTGCGTCTCGTCCTTTTTATGATGGACCCCGTCAGGCCAGCCCGCGTCCCCCGTACCCGAGTCTTACGTCTCCCCGAGAGAAGAGTACTCGATGCCCCCGGCTCGCTCGGGCGCGGCCTCTGCTGGCGCCGGGCCCCCTCCCCGCGCTCCTTGGGCGGCGCCCTCCCAGATCTTGGCATCGCTCGGGCGTGTGAGAATTTCTGTTTCGTCGAGAACCATCGAGGAGCATATCGGGCCGGGCGAAAGGGGGGGATTGGGAAAGGGGGGGTTACGAACTTTGCTGCATGCAGCTGGTTTCGGCCTCACCGAGGGGCCCATTCCTCGATACATAGCCGCCTCCGGCGCCGGGAGGCGCCGGGAAAATCAGCTACGTGAGCTGATTCTCAAACCCCCCCTTTGCTATCCCCCCCTTTCGCCCGACCCGAGCATACTGGATCCTATTGCGAAGAGATAAACGCACGAAGTCGAACAAAAAACACGGGGAAGGGACGTCCGAGCGACGGCGAGAGGTGTCCAGCGCCACGAAGAGAGTCGAGGGGATCGCTAGCATGGATTGACAAGGTGCGTGCATTGGCGACGGGTCTCGTTTCCATGCGAAATCGGCGCGCGCTGTCACAAATGAGGTGGCTCTGGCCTCAGGTGTCGGCGGTACCTTCCCCGATCCATGTGAGCGTGCCCCCGAGAAAGCTGGGCGAAGGATCTTGCAGTTTTTGGACTTTGAGGGCGGCTTGAAGGCCATGGGACCGTCAGTCACATGTCTCCAGACGAAAGCCTGCCCTGTGGGAAGAAGAGGTCGGGACTTCCGAACAAACCGCACGGAAAACACGGCAGACCCAGACATGGCATGTTGGGGGTTCCCACGTCGGCGGCGAGCGAGGGGGAAGTGAGAACGAGACGATTTCTTCAGAAGGCGGCGGGGCTTCTCAGAAGCCCTCCGGCCTTCCGAGAAGTTCTCCGTATTCTCTCGGGGAAGGCTTGGGAAACTTCTCAGACTTTCTTGGGACTCCCGAGCCTTCTGAGAGGGCCCGCCCCTTCTCACTCCTCCCCTGGGCTCCGCGGGCGTACACGTTCTTGGTCCGCTTCCCACTCAGGCAGCTCGTTGAGGCGAAGTACTACGACGACATCCGCTTCTTCCGGGTCATCCCCACATTCATGGTGCAATTCGGCATTCGGCCCGAACGAAATGGGTACGGAAAGAGTGGGTACAATGCCCAACAGTAGTTCTTGTTCATTTTGAACAGGACTCGCTGTCCGCGCCGCCGCGGCCTGTGTCTATTTGAGACAGAAGGCCGCCTGCCCAACAGCGGCCGCTGTTGGTTTGGGACAACATATTGTTGTTGGGCATTGTACCCATTTTTCCGTACCAGTTTCGGGCGTCCAAAGGCATCAGCGGTGACCCGGCGTTGAATTCGGAGTGGAGGGCCCAGCCGATCAAGGACGACTCCGTGAAGCAGTCGAACAAGCCTGGGTACGTCACGTTCGCCAAGACGGGTGCTCAGAGGCGAAAGACATGTCGATGCCGATGCCCTTCCCTCGGTTTCTCTTTCTGGGGCCTCCTGTTCACCACCCGCCAAACCACCCCGACCCGACCCGAAGGCCTCAATTTGCCCTCCACTTCCAGTGGAGGGGGGGGGTCTGGGAGCATTGAGACAACACATGGAACCCGTACCTCCCCCCCCAACCCGACATTCGGGTCAAGTTCGGGCCTTCGGGTGGGGTTGGGGTGGTCTGGTGGGTAGTCAGTAGGGCCCTCGTCGCTGCGGCTGGACTCGCTCTCCTCCTCCTCCTCCTCCTCCTCCTCCTCCTCCTCCTCTTCCTCCCCCTCCTCCTCCTCCTCCTCCTCCTCCTCCTCCTCCTCCTCCACGTAATCGACTGCACGTAAGAGTGACCGTTCGCCGGACTGACCTTTGGTGGGGGCCCATTGGGATCCCCCGATCGCCGAGAGCGATGCGATAGTAGCCTCTGTCGCGCTTGTGCTTGACCCCCCCGCGGCCCCCCAGGAAGCCGCGCACCAAAGGTCACTCTTACCCAGGGTCACTCTTGCGTGCGGCAGATCGAAGCTTTTTGATTTTGCCAGGCGCGCCGAACTCTCGGACCACGCAGGTGTTCATCAACTACTTCGACAACGCGGGGCTGGACAGCCAGGGGTTCGCGCCCTTCGGCGTGGTGGAGGGCGACGGAATGAGCGTGGTGAAGAAGATCTACAACTGTGGAGAGAAGCCCAACCAGGGCAGGATCCAGTCCGAGGGGAACGCCTATCTCGACAGGGAGTTTCCCAGGCTCTCCAGGGTGGTGGCCGCACGGGTGCTCCCGGACTTGCCGAAGGAGGAGCTCTCTTCTTCCTCGTCGTATAATCATGCTCTCTATGCCTGATATGTTGTTCCCCCGAGCTTGCCTCTGTAGGGGTCCTAGCGGATTCATATGGTTAGGTTAGGTTTGCCGCCGATTTTCGCCGCACGCTGGGGTGCCCCGGTGCCCGGGGGTGCCCGGGGCCCGGGTGCCCCGGGGGTTCCCGGGGGTGCCCGGGTGTCCGGGTGCCCGGGCGTGCCCGGGCGTGCCCGGGGGTGCCCGGGGGTGCTCTATAGCCCTAAACCCTATAGCCCTATAGCCCTACAGCCCAATAGCCATAGAGCCCTACAACTCTATAGCCTTAATAGCTCAATAGCCCTATAGTCCCACACCCCTATGGCCCCCCAAGCCCTATAGCCCTGATTAGGTTTTTTTTTTCTTCGGTATCATATATATATATATATTCACATATATATGTGTATATGTATATGTATACACATATGTATATATATACATATATCTATATGTCTCTTGCTCCTCCTTCCTCTTTCACTCCTTCCTTTTTTCCCTCCCTCCTTTTGTTCTAGCTGTGCATCGGACTCGGGCTCCCTTTCCCTCCTTCCTCCTTTCCTCATTTCTTCCCCCCTGTTATGCGTACTCGCCACCTTCCCCTTCCATCGCCCCCCTGTCGTCATCGTGGTCCCCATCCGCTGCCTCATCCCTCATCATCCTTCTCCCTGCGCCCCCCTCTTGTCCTTCTCCCAGATACATTTATATGTATACATCTACGCCTGGACATTTTCATCCACATTCATACAATTATACATACACATATTTTGTGCACCATATGTGTATGCGTAAATGACTTGGTATAGTATGTGTATATGTTTCTGTATTCATCTAGATTTGCATGTGTGTGTGGGTCAGTTAACACTCAGCATGCCGCTCACCCCTTTGCAAGTAACAGGGGGCGGCGGATCGAAGACGCCTACGGCGAATCACCGCTGCCCCCTGCCTTTTGGAAACGCCCATGCGGCGAAACGTTGGGTCAACGTTTGGCCAAGCTATTTGACTATGTGCTCCCCCCAGCCGTTGTGGACCCCCTAGTGGACTACTTGGGAGAGGAAGAGAAAGGAGGAGGGAGGAGGAGGAGGAGGAGGAGGAGGAGGAGGAGGAGGAGGAGGGGGAGGAGGACGAGGAGCAGGAGGAGGAGGAGGAGGAGGAGGAGGAGGACGAGGACCAGGAGGAGGAGGAGGAGAAGGAGGAGGAGCAGGAGGATGAGGATGAAGAGGAGGAGGAGGAGCAGGAGAGGGGGGAGGAGGAGAAAGAGGAGGAGGAGCAGGGAGGGGGAGGGAGGAGGAGGAGGAGGAGGAGGAGGAGGGGGGGGAGGAGGGGGAGGATGGGAGAAGGATGGGAGGAGGAGGAGGAGGAGGAGGAGGAGGAGGAGGAAGAGGACGAGGAGGAGGAGGAGCAGGAGGAGGAGGAGGAGGAGGAGGAGGACGAGGACAAGGAGGAGGAGGAGGCGGAAGAGGAGGAATACGAAAAAGAAGAGAGGCCTTTTGAGGTCCTCCTAGGGCTTCCTGGGAGCCGTTTGGGGGCCTCATAGGGCTTCTTCGAGGACTCCTCGGGCCTCTGAGGGGCCTCGTGGGCCTCTGGGGGCCTTGCAGGGGCCTCTGGGCCTTCGGAGGCCGTCTTGGGGATCTGGGCAGTCGTGAGTGCATCTCGGAGGCCTCTTGGGCGCTCTTGGGGCCATCTTGGTGGACTATGGGGCCGTCTTGGGCCGCCAGAAAGCAGAAAAAGCAGAACATTAGCAAACGTCAGAATCTTGCAAAAACCCGAGGGACACCAATGATTTTGGCATCTTGGGGCCTTCCTGGAGGACCTCTTTAGGGCCTCTTGGGTCGTCTTGGATGCCTTTTTGGGGCCACTTTGGCCGTCTTGGGCCATCTTGGGTGCATCTTGGGCCGTCTTTGTGACATTTTGCGGCCATCTCGGGCCCTCTTGGGGCCATATTGGCCGTCTTGGAGGCCATCTTGGCCGTCTTGAAGGCCATCTTGGGCCACCTTGGCCGTCTTGGAGATAGTTTTTGTCAGTTTACGCGGCTGTCCGTGTGGGCGGCGCGATCTGCCGAGATTCCACCAGGTCCTCTTAAACAGAACCCCCGCCTTTCGGAAATCTGGCACGCCGTGCACGCCTGTGGCAGACCACATTTTTCCCACGGCGTGCAGTTCATTTTTGCGCCAGCTGCTGCATTCAACTTTTACAGTCAACCCGAACAGTAAGGATGGACAACCTTCCCAAAGGTACCCTTGCATCCTTGCCTCCTGGGTCCAACCTTGGCCACTTTCGTCGGCCGCGCCCCGCTCGAAAAGCTTCGAAATGGGCGTCCGAGGCCCTTGCCTCCTTATCGCGCATCCTTACTATACGGGTTGACTGTGTTATACATCACTGTACTACGTATATATATCATTGTGCTATTCGGCCCATCCCGCCGCCGTGCCAGGGTCGTGGACACGAGGCTTCTGGGGGGCCAGTTGGAGGTCTCTCAGGGGCTTCTTTGGGGGGCCTCTTGGGGGCCGCAGGGCTCTCTGCGCCCAGGTTGGCGCGGGTGTGTCCGTCGTGTCCGGCGGTGCTCCGGCTCACGCCACGGTGCTAACCGTGCAACGTTTCGGAGGAGGAAAAGGCACCTATACCTCTACCATCCCCTCGTTATTCCCTCTTTGGGGCCTCCTGGGCCTCCGTCGCCGCCACCGCCGGATTCGCCTCGGAGTTCATGTCAGAACGCACTCCAGGAGAGGTCCAGGGAGTAGCGGTGTCGGTACCTTGTGGTTTCCCCAATGTTAGTTGATGCTGCGTGGGTGGATGGCACGTTTCCGCGCCCACTTACCCCCTGGAGGTCGGCATCGTCTAAACGATCCCCATCCTCACCGGCTTGGCATCGCTTGGACGTGTGCATTTTTCCTTCGGCGAGGACCATCGAGGAGCATCCTTGATCATTTGGCGAAAAAACCACGCACGAAACCAACAAAAAAACACAGGGATTGGACGTCCGAGCGATGGCCAGCTGGGCCATGGTATCGCATCCCCACCAGCCCACCCGCCCCCAGGTGGGGAAGGGCCCCGCGAAGCCCGAAGGAGGCATCGTATATGAGATCCCGGGTCGAGGGTTCACAGGGCCCCTCCCTCCAGGTGGGATGGGTCGGGGGCGGAAAAAAGGGGGGTGACGACCAGGGGGGGGTGGATATCATGGCGGGGGCCATGATATCTCACCAGATTTCATGGCGCCTCTTCTTATTTCATTACGTCTCTGGCCCCCCCGCTGGGCCGCGCACATGCCGCCGGTCATGATTTGCACCCCCCCCTCTTGGACACCCCCCTCTTGGCCGCTCCCGAATGGGATGGGTCCCAGGGTTCCTCGGCCCCCTCCTCCTCTGATGGGATGGAGGGTGGACGAGGACGACGACGCCGACGACGACGACGACGCCGCCGATGACGCCGACGACGACCTCATCACACTATGCCCAGAGGGCCACAGACACAGGATGGGACCGGTTGGGGTGTTTTGAAAAGCCAAACGGGCCTCTGAAAACATTGAGGTCCATGTTGCGGAAGGTCTGGATAGTTTTTAAAGGCCCGGTCCCATGTTGCGGAAGGCCGGGACGGTTTGGGAAGGCCCGTTCCCGTGTTGCGGAAGGCCTGGTCGGTTGGTTAAGGCCCAGCTCCGCGTTGCGGACCGGTCTGGCCATTTTTAAGGCCTGGGAGCGCCTGGGAGCATGCGTGTGGGAGTTAAGAAGCTCTCCCAAACCCTAAAAGGCTTTAGTGTGGGAGGTCGCGAGCCTCTCGGCCGGGGGCCGGGGGTGGGAAGATGGTGAAAATCTTGCGCCCTTCGGCAAGCATGATCGGGTCGGCTAGACGCCCCCCAATCAAGCTTGCCGAAGGGGGTGCCCATTAATTTGGACTGTCACCAGCTGCGGGCCGAGAAGCCCGACACCCTAACCCCAAACCCTAAACTCGAGCATGCGTCGCTGTCGGGAAACCCCAGACGCATGCGAGCAATGGTCGGGGCGCTTCAGCGGAGGACCTTGAGAATGTACGGATAGGGAGAGGTTAAGCTCGGCCGCCCAAACGCGGCGCAGACCACAAGCGACGCACCCACCTACTACCTACGTAGTAGGAAATATGAGCCCGAAAACCGGAACCCAAAGCGAAGGTCAGGGAAATTGTCTCCTCGGGCTAGTTGCCAGAACACCATTCTTGGTAGTGATTTTGGAGGTCCAGGCCAACAGTTACACATGCTGTGGGCTTCGAGTTGCCATCACA